AAGTATGGAATATATACATATTAGAGTACTACTCAGCAGTAAAAAACAAGGACTTCTTGAAGTTTGCAGGCAAATGGATGGAAATAGAAAACACTATCCTGAGTGAGGTAAGCCAGACCCAAAAAGAGGAACATGGGATGTACTCACTCATATTTGGTTTCTAGCCATAAATAAAGGACATTGAGCCTATGATTCGGGTTCTTAGAGAAGCTAAATAAGAAGGAGAACCCAAAGAAAAACATATAGGCATCCTCCGGAATATTAACCTTCCTCAGGCGATGAAAGGAGACAGAGACAGAGACCCACATTGGAGCACCGGACTGAAATCTCAAGGTCCAAATCAGGAGCAGAAGGAGAGAGAGCACGAGCAAGGAACTCAGGACCGCCAGGGGTGCACCCACACACTGAGACAATAAATAAATCTTAAGGAAGAAAAAGAAAACTCTAGTGCCCCTCAGTGGTGGCACACGCCTTTAATCCTGGTACTCAGGAGGCAGAGATATGTGGATCTCTGTGAGTTTGAGGCTGCAGCACAACTCCTGTCTGTGCTCTGTGTGCTAACATACAGCTCTTGAACTTCGGGCAAGGGGCTGGAGATTGAAACACACAAAGACAGAGAGACCTCTAGTCACTGGTAAGAAGCCCCTTATTCAAATAGCACCATGGAGGCTTACATACCCAACACAGTCAGGTGGATCAACAGGTGAAAACATTATCCTCTGATCCTCAAGGCCAAGGCAAAACGTGCTCGTGAAGCAGAGCTAGTAAACAACTTTGACACAGCCTTTAGTAACTCAAATCAGAAGGAAAGTAAAGATCTCTGGCAGGGAAGAGCAGCTGGAGGCCAGGACTCCAAATGGTCCCAACACGAGGCCAGCCTGGTCTACAGAGCAAGTTACAGGACAGTCAAGGGTAAAAAGAAACCCTGTCTTGAAAAACCCAAAAATAAATTTTAATTTAAATTAAAAAGGAAAGAAAAAAGAAAACTCGCATTTAGAGCAAACCCAAATTTCCCTTGCTATTGATCTGGTGTTTAAACCTGTCATGATCCAAAGATCACTTTCTTACTACACAGCTCAGCTCTTTTTTTAAAAAAAAAAAGATTTATTTATGTCTATGAGTGGTCTTCTTTGCACCTACATCTGAACACCCAAAGAAGTCATCAGATCCCATGGGGCTACAGTTGTAGACAGTTGTGAGCAGTAACGTGGATGCTGAGAATTGAACTCAGGACCTTTGGAAGAGCAGGCGGTGCTCCTAACCACTGAGCCATCTTTCTAGTCCAGCTTAGCTCTTTGCACCAGCTGCTTTCTACAGGGAAGAGAAACTGTCAGAGTTCATCTACAGCTAGCGGTGAGACCTTAGCTTGACCTCCGCTGTGGCAACTTCATTGAAGATTGCATTCACAGTGCCTGAAACAACCATGCTTTTTACTGGAGAAGAGGGGGGTGTTCAGAGAGTGGGGCCAGGATCTCCACTTTAATTAATTAAACCATGCTCTTGCGTGAGTCACTGGCTCATAAAAAGCAGGTGAGGAGGGATCTGACATCAGGCACCAGAAATAACCCTAAGCACTCTGAATGGAATGGTGTTTTTACACAGTTATGTACTCCCAATCACAAACACATGCCAGCACCAAGTACTGTTGCTCCCTTTTGAATTTTTTATATTTATTCACTTATTGCTTTGTTTTTTTGTTTTTTGTTTTTTTGTTTTTGTTTTTTTTTTTTTTTTTCGAGACAGGGTTTCTCTGTAGTTTTGGAGCCTGTCCTGGAACTAGCTCTTGTAGACTAGGTTGGCCTTGAACTCACAGAGATCCGCCTGCCTCTGCCCGCCCCCCCCCCCCAGTGCTGGGATTAAAGGCGTGCGCCACCACCTCCCAGTGAATTTTTTAATTGTGTGTACGTGTGCTGATGAAGATTAAACCCAAATCTTACGCATGCTAAGGAATCATCACTGAACTACATCCCCAGCAAATATGATATTCTCAATCAGACAAAGGGGTAGGGGATTCTTGGTAGGATTTTTGAGGCCTTTTGTTGTTGTATTTGTTTGAGACCTTCTTTCAATGTATTCCTGGCTGTTGGGGAACTCAAAGACATCTGCCTGCCTCTGCTTCCAAAGTGCTGGGATTGAAGGCACGTACCTTTAATCCCAGCACTCAGGAGTCAGAGGCAGACAGATGTCTGAGTTCTACGACAGCCTGGTCTATAGCGCAAGTTCCGGGCTTCACAGAGAAACCCTGTCTTGAAAAAATAAAACAAAACAAAAAGGCACTAAGTTAGCAAAATGACTCAGAGTGAGTCTGTCATTAACAAACCCCTATTTCAAAGCATCCCTCTGATTTCCATCCTAGCCTTTCGAGGCAGGAGGATTTCGTGAATAAACCCTGGAGCTCAAAGTCCACCTGGATAAGACAATAAGATTTTTTTTTTTCTAAAGAGCAAACAGAGCTGGGAGAACAGGCGAACGAGTTTGCAGTGTGTAGGTGCTCTAAACCTAGGACCATTCCAGGCAGATGACGAACAGGAAGTCATTCTCTTTCCCCCACTGCCATCTTCTGGTGGAAGGCGGTAATGTTTATTGCCCGCCCAGACCCACGACTTCTCGGGAAATCTGAGCAGGACTATGAGGGGTCAGCTGCCCTGTTGGCTGACCATGCTGAGTACAGGCCTCACCCTTGAATGTTCTCACACCGACAGCTATGGCTCTCACCACCCTGCCGTGACTCTGTATTCCACACAATGAGTGCCAACGATAGGCAGCCTGGCAGTGGAGTACAGTCACTGCAAGCGGCCTCCCGTTCCAGTCAATCAAATCGCGCCGTCCTCAGTGTGGGAGTGAGGGCTGACGAGGAACTGTGGGCCTGTCCAGAAGCAGAAGGTGCTGGGAATGGCTGTGCTATGGGGAACAGGAGAAACACAATCACTAGGCTCTCATCAGCCAGAGCCACGGAGCTTCCCTACGCTGGCACTTCCTTATTGTAAGACACAGTAACACATATTGTCCTGGGTGGATAAAACTAAACCAGACTATATATTTAAAGTCCCTGCACTATGGTGGGCTCAGTGATGTTCTGTGCTGATCTGGAGCCATACAGAACACCCTGGTTGGCTGGCCGACCCAGACAGTGCTAGTTAGTAACTGTGGTGTTTGGCTCCTGGACTAGCCTCCTGGGATGAGGATAGAGACATCTTCTCCCTGGGAAGCCTTGGCAACCTTATTCATCCCTTACCTCACAGCAGATCTCTGCATGCCCGGGCATCTCCGGATGGATCCCCAGCAAGAGAAAGGATGTGTCCCCAACATACCCGCCAGAATTGGAGTGTGTGTTGTATTCTAACAGAGGGGCGTGGCCGCTACGAAAAAGCAGGCTGGAAACGTGAATTAGGCTCTCTTGGGTTTGGTGCCAGGCTCCGGGAATCTTCGCCCCACCCTGACATGGCGACCAGCCAACTTCAGGGATTCTGAACCAGCTTTATTTGCAAAAAATTAAAAAAACAGACAAGGAGGAACTCGAGACAGAAAGGTCTCTCCCGCCCCTCTGAGGACCCTGCATCTGCTTTTCTCTCACCAGGAACCACTTCGCACGCCCCATTCTCTGGAGCTCGACTCCGCCCACCGACGCCCCGCCCCTTAGCAACCCACAAGCCCCACCCACCAGTGGGCCCGCCTCTTTGTGGTCCTCACCCCTCCCTGGCCCAGGCCGCGCCCCTTAGCCCCTGGCCCAGGGGTCAGGCTACACGATGGCGAACTGGCAGACGTAAGGCAATTGGTCGCGGCACCGCTTGTCGAACCACTTGCCGTTGGCCGCTACGGCCAGGGCGGCGCAGTTCTCGGCTTTGCCGCCGTCGGGCTGCGCCGTGATCTCCGTCTCCCAGTTCTTGAAGGCCAGGCGGCCGCCGGTCATGTCCACCCAGGCGCCTTCCGCGGCCATGTCGTTGAGGCCCATCCAGATCTCCACCTCGCTGCCTACGCTCTGGCGCGCGTACTCGAACAGAGCCTCGTTCTCCAGCCCCGACTGCGGCGTGCCCAGCGTGCCCCCACGGGAGATGCAGTCCTCGCTCGCCTCATGGAAGGTCTTTGGCTGGGGGAAGGCCAGGAAGCACTTCAGGTTTACTTTGGTGCCCTTTAGGCATACTGAAAGGAGAAATAGCCGTCATGAGTTTCGGACGCCCCAAGCCAGACTGTCCCCAGCCTCCATCCCATCCCATCCATCGCTTGAAACCTGCTTGCTTCCGCTTCAGGACCCTGCCCTGCCGTGGCAGACACTGAAGAAGCCAGATTACTGTCCACGAGGAATTGGTGCCCTGGTCCGGGAATGACCACCCCTCTGCTACAAAGGGATCCTTAGCCAGGGTCACTGACTTCCAGAGACCGAGTGCAAAAGCCACCTACCTGGTCTCTGCCCAGGGCCACAGAGGCTGGCGTCAGGCTTATTCTGAGCTTAACCTCTCTTGAGTCTGCTTCCTTCCTCACCCTCCCCAGACTGCGACCTCAGTTTCCCCAACTAGCCAGAGCCTCCCACGCTGTGCTCCATCACCAGGCTCCGCTCTAGGATCAAGCCACTAGCTAGTTCACAGTACCAGGCATCTGCCTACTAGAAATGGAGACCACAGTCCAGATACTTAGTACTTACCACCTCAGTCTGAGGGCTAGCAAGCTTTACCACAGGGGATCCACAGAGGGGACCTCTGTCCAGGCCAGGTCCCAAGTAAGAGAAGGCAGACTTTTCCAAATGGCATTCTGAACTAGTGCTTAGTGGAACACTGATGTCCCAGGTTAGGAGGTGAGCTTGGTGTAGCAGTTTGTGTTTAACTTGACTTTCTTCCTTCCTTCCTTCCTCCCTCCCTCCCTTCTCTCCTTCCTTCTTCCTTTCTCTCTCTCTCTCTCTCTCTCTCTCTCTCTCTCTTTCTTTCTTTCTTTCTTTCCTTCTTTCTTGTTTATTTGTTTTTTAAGACAAAATCCCTGCCTCCCAAGTGCTGGGATAAAAGGCATGCACCACCACCACCCGATGTAGCTTGATTTCTAACAACCATCAGGCAGATGGGGTATGTGTCACTTGTGGGGTCACATACATCAGGAGTACATCTTGGCCCCTACCCCATGCACTTGGCCCTTCCACTCAGTGGGTGGTCAGGAGGAGCATCCCCACATCTCGGAGGGATTTGACAAGTCAGCCTCACGGAAGTGTATTCATAGACCTGTAGCACACCCATCACACTCTCGGGTACATCGTACACCTAGATCAAGGCAAGTGCACACACGGTATGCTCACCACACACCACGGATCTGAGGCACGGTCACGGGGGAGTGGGAGAAGACACTGCATGAAGGCCATGGTAGAGAAGGACAACCAACTTGAAGGACCAGCCTGACCCCAAAGCTCTGTGCGGTTAGCCAGTCTAAAAACAAAGGCCGGCTCTCCTGGCCTTTGGAGTGCCCAGCAGGGTGACTGTGGGCCTCCTCTGCCTCAGTTGGCCCAGCTTTAATTTTTTAAAAAGTACTTATTTTCATTAAAGATTTTTATACGTGCATGTTATGTGTATGTCTGTGTGTGTGCGCCATGTCTGTGTGGGGTTACTCTCAGGGCAGAAGAAGGCATTGGATCCCCTGGAGCTAGAATTATACAGTCGCCATGTGGGTGCAGGGGCTAAACCCAGGCTCTCTGGAAGAGCAGCTAGGTCTCTTAATGCCTGAGTCATCTCTCCAGCCCCAAGATTGTATTTATCATATTATTATTTGTTTTGTCTTTGAGATAGAGTCTCACTGTATGACCCTGACTAGCCTGAAACTCACTCTGTAGACCAGGCTCGCCTACCAAGTGGTGGGATTAAAGGTGTATGCCACCATGCCTTGCTTTATTTTTATTTTTAAGGGGTGTGTGTGTGTGTGAGAGAGAGAGAGAGAGAGAGAGAGAGAGAGAGAGAGAGANGAGAGAGAGAGAGAGAGAGAGAGAGAGAGAGAGAGAGAGAGAAAGAGAGAGAGAGAGAGAGAGAGAGAGAGAGAGAGAGAGAGAGAGAGAGAGAGAACGCACAAGAGTGCAGTGCCCATGGAGGACAAGAAGCATTAGATCCTTTGGAACTGGGGTTACAGACAGTTGTGAGACACCAGACGTGGTGCTGGGAATCAAACTCTGTCCTCTATGGAAGCAATAGCATTCTTAATTACCGTGCCATTTCTCCAGCCCCCATCAGCTGGCACAGTTTAACATTGGAACTGACAAATTCTGGCCTGGTTAGCACAGACACACAGGAAGGGTGGGTACAGGGGAGGGGAGCCATGTGCCCCATGGCCTCTGCAGCACTGACCCTCCACACCCTCTAGCTGTGACCAGACCCAGCTGTGCCTGACTGGCTGGGTCATACGGATGTAAGTCAGGCAGCCTCCCCCAAGGAACCATGTGAAAACAGAGGCTCCTGAGCTTGGCACTGGCTGGAAACTGGGCCTTCTTCCCCGCTTCTGCCCATTACCAGCCTGGTCCCTTCTTGGGCATGTCTCTCCACACAGTCATACCACACTCACCGGTCTGTAAGGCCTGCTGCTCCTTCAACAGGGCCACCTCCTGGGCCAGGCTGTCCAGCCTGTTCTTGAGCTCCTCAAACATCTTTGGGCTCACCACATCTAGGACAGAGAGGCATGAGGCCTTGAAAACCTGAGGCACGCAGCTCCCTTCTCTTCTGCCAGCCCCGAAGAGGCAAGGGGAAATTACTTCTCCCAGCCTAGGCTGCTTGGTTTTCCTTCCCTCTTTGTCCCCTGCCTAAGGAACTCCAGTGGGCTCTTTTTGCCTGTTTCTGGTTCCTCTCCAGGCTTCCCTATCCTGCATTTGTCAGGGAGGAATTAGCAGGAGTTGGGGAAACAGCCACCTTACCAGCTCCATTTATGGGCCATAAAATCACAGAGGTCAGTTCCCCCAGGATGTGGACCGAGCCCCAGTCTGAGCTGAGGGTGACAGGGACACACGTTCACCAGCACAGCTCCACCTCGTCACGCACACAGTGTGAGAGGAAAACAGCACCCTGGAATGACTGAGGAAGCTCAGGGGAAATGGCACAGCACAGGGTGTGTTGTGTGCGGCTGAGGGAGAGCAGAGGAGCCATTTCTGGTAGCGCTCTCCTGCAGAAGGACTTGGGCTTGCTGTGCACCTCCTCAGCCATGCTCATAGCCAGCCCTAAGGCACAGGCAAGAACCATCCTGGGTACTCACCATTTCACAAGGAAACCGAGGCCAGATCTAAACGACCTGCCTAGGATGATAGAGCAGCTAGCTGGCCTGAGCCACAGAGCCATGCTCTTCCCGTCTGCTCCATGGTACATGACATCCCTGATAGGGACTGCCCGCGTCGGTGATTGACATGTGCACCAGCAGGTGTGGGTGAGGGACACCGTGTGTGTCAGCTGAGAGCTGTGCATGGACTCCTGTCTTTCTGAAGTCCCAGGGTGGGACTTGAAAAGCTCTGCTTGGCTTGAGGCAAAGGATAGGGAGTCTACAGAGGGAGTTCCAGGACAGCCAGGGCTACACAGAGAAACCCTGTCTTGAAAACAAACCAATTAACAAACAAACAAAAGACATGGACTTGCATGTACAAGAATCAGTGATATAACTTGTCAAGTGTGGGGAAAATAACACCCAGTGGAACAAGAGCACAGCAGACAGGGTTGGAGCCAGGGTCACTCCGTATCTCTGCCTCAACCTCTGGGTTCACAGACGCTGTGAGCAATCACATGGAACACCAGCACAGGGCACCATGTGGGTAACGTGAGTCGGAAACGGAACCAGGGTGTTTGAGCTCTCGTGGGAGCCATCTATGGCCAGAGCTTGAGCGTGGTCATTACTGAAGTCAGGAGCAGCCCTGCTCGGATCCTCTTCTTTCCCACAACATGATTTACAAGGCTGGGAAAAACCTGATAAACTAGCAACATTTTCCATATCCAGAAATCCTGCTTGTCTTTGATCTACGTCCCTCACACCACATGCCTTGGCGGCATTGTTGGTGGTGCTCAAGGACAGAACCATGTGAGGTATTCAGTCCCCTGCTTTAAAATGAACACTTTGTAGACAGTTATTATATATTGATCTGATTGAAGAAATCAGAACCATCCAAAAATTCTTCTTCCCAATCCAGACTGCTCCCTGCGTTTCCTTCCAGGAGCAGTCTCTGCTATCTTTGTAGATTTTTCTGGAACAGTTCTATACATAGTCAACAGATGTTTATTTACTTTTAGCTCAGTCCATTAAAATTTTCCAAATAATTATTGATATGTCAATTGCTCAGGCTCCTGGGGTTCATCTCCATATACATATGCCTCGTGATAGATCTCTCTGTCAAAGTGATGTTAATAAAGTATCAGTTCTGTTTTGAATTTTGTTTACATTGTAAACTTAGCTTTTGGTTGTTTTTGAGACAGGGTCTCCCTGTGTGTTCTTGTGTGGCCTGGAACTCACTCTGTAGACCAGGCTGGCCTCAGACTCAGAGATCCGCCTGCCTCTGCCTCCAAAGTACTGAGATTTAAGACATGCACCCCCCCCCCCCCGGTTTTGTTTGTTGTTGTTTGTTTGTTTGAAGGGCTGAACATGGAACCCGGACGTCACACATTCTAGGCAAGCACTCAGACAGGAAGATGTTAACTCTAACCCCTGGAGTTTTGTTGTTTTTTGAGTCAGGGTTTCTGTAATTTTGGCTGGCTTCAAATTTGCTATATAATTGGAGAAACCTTGAATTTATAACCCTCCTTCATTCACTTCCTAGTGCTGGGGTTAGTGTGAACCACTCTGGGTTCTGTATGTTGCTGGGGATCAACCCAGTTCCTTGAAGACGCTAGGCAAGCCCCCTATCAACCGAGTTCTGTGTGTTTGCTGTAGTCCTATGCTCCGAGGTGCTGGTGCAGAGGGCCTGTATATTCTCCACACCGGCTCTAACCGTTCCTGAGTCTCCACCTCTAGCTCTTCCTCCTGTCACCCTCTCCGTCCTGTAGGGGTGACAACCTCAGCCATGACCATAATACTCTGCAGTTTCATCTCCACCCCTCCCAGGATGACCTCACCCTCAGCACTTCAGAGGAGAGCAGAGATACTCTGAGCTCACTCTGGGATGAAAGTCAGAGTCCACTTGTCCCCCATTTCCCCTATGTGTGCCAAGCAAAGGTTTGTCCAGGGGGGCTTTATACATTTTATATTATTAAACGTTGGCTGCAAGTCTTTGAAATATCGGGTGTCAGAGGGGAGCAGATGTCAGTGTAGAAACTCTATGAGGTTCTTCTCCGTCCTAAGAGTCGGGCACTCTTGAAGTTCTGACAACCGTCCCTGCTGCGAGAACACCCTCGCCACCAGATTCTTTCACCAAAGTCCCAGGAAGACTCGTCAGAATCAGACATAAAGGGAAGGAACAGGAGTTAACGAAAGCAGGGCAGCTGCCTCTAGAGTGTCGGGAAGGGTGACTGCTCCCCCTGAAGATGAAGGAAGGCTGCCTCTAGAGGGTAGGGAGGAGCAGCTGCCCCCTTCTTACCTTTCTTGACATTTGTGGCTTTCTTGGTCTTGGGGGTAGGTGACTCTGCAGTGACCTGGGACAAGATGGAGAAGAGGCAGAAAAGCAGGTAGGTGCTCCAAAATCCCATACTGCTGCTTCTGGCTGCAATGCCTGGGTCGGAAAGCAGTGGTCACTGCAGCCTGGGCTGCACGTCTTAAGGCTGTGGAAACAACGACCTCTGTCTTGGAAACCCTCCGAAAGCTTGGCTGAGGACACACAAAACAGGAAAGAAAAAAAAAAAGTGATGCAAGCCTGCCAAAGGAGAAAGGCTTGGGAGCCGTAGCTACACTGCTGTGGACAACCACCCAGCAGCCTGGCTAGCCTCCCGGAAAGTCGGCGTTTCAGGAGATTCTAATAGACAGCCAATAGCTGTCATTGCTCAATCGTCCAGTGATTATTTGGGCCTGACATTGGCTCAATGAGTCTCTGTACCCACAGAAATATCCTTTCCCATTTTGTTGGGGAAATTGAGGCTCAGTGGGGTAAAGAGTGTCTACAAACTACTCAGCCACTAAGGGACAGTGACCAGGCTAGCAGCCTTAGTGGTACAGAATGCTTGTGATTATTTTGTAATTTTGTTACTTCTTTTCATTAAAAAATAATGCAAGATAGACCTTCCTTCCCTCACATTTTACCCCTCAAAATTTTGTCCTGAAGTCATAAGAGGGACAGAGCAAAAGAGGGGACCAGAGCAGAGAAAGGAACCAGAGGGCCTTGGAGTAGCAGTGTCAGGGAGGGAGCAGGGGCAGTGTCCCCTGGATGTTCAAGCAAAGGACATCAAAGCTCTGCAGGCTGGAGGGAGGCACTGCCAGTGTGAGAACCCAAGCACTGGGAGGGAGAACTGTGTGAGCAGGAGAGACCATGGGGACACTGAGGACATACACAGACCCTACTAAAGACAGTGGGAACTAGGCTTCTTTTCGGAGAAGGGGTTTATGAGCATGTAGAAAGAGGAAGTTGTTGAACCCTGCAGTATATGATTAAAAGCAGAGCTCCCAACGAGTCCCTGTGAACATGAACACATTCAGAGAAATCCAGATGTGTAGTTAACATAAGCAAGCAGACACATCTGTTTCCCAGCTGTCCCTGGAGCGGCCTTGAAGCTGCAAAGCCTCTTGGCATGTTAGTGCAGAATGTAGCATTCTACCCGAGGGGCAGAAAATGAACCCAAACGTGTCACACCGCCAGGAAGCAAAATACTTAAAGAATGCTGTGGACCCATCAGTGGGGTACAGCTCGCCTGAGAGAGCTGCCTATGGTGTGAGCCCAGCAGTGTTTGGGGATTCTGTAGATTGAGAGCCATAGCACAAGCATAGCATCAGGCTGGAAGAGATGAACACACAATTCAACACCAAAAACTGGACTGGACCCTTAGACACGGGAGGACATAGTTGACAACCGATGGGATGTAAGGCACCCATGGCTGAGCCCCTGTTTCTCCCCCAGCTCCAACAACGTTCTCACCTTTAGGGAGCCCAGGTGAACCACTTGTTCAAAATTGGCCTCTGGGGATAAAGTTCTTTGTAGAGTAGTTGAAATTTTCAGTGAATTTGACCTTTTAAAAAATAAAATGCGAGGCTGGAGAAACGGCTCAGTGGTTAAGGCACTGACTGCTCTTCCAGAGGACCCAGGTTCAATTCCCAGCACCCACATGGCAGCTCCCAACTGTCTGTATCTCCAGTTCCAGTGAACCCAGCACCCTCACACAGACATACGAGCAGGCAAAACACCAATGTACATAAAAATAAAATGCAGGGCTGGGGGTGTGGCTCAGTTGGTATAGTCCCTGCCTAGCATGCAGGAAGCCCTGGGTTTGATCCTTAGCATGAAATAAACAGGGTATTGTGCACACCTGTGGTCATAGCGTTTGAGAGTCTGAAGCAGAAGGTTCAGGAGTTAAAAGCCACAAGTCCCTGTCTCAAAAGGGAAAAAAAAAAAGGACAAAAAATGCAATACCATGTCATCAGCCTTTCCCTGCTCTCCGGCTGGGGAGGGGCATGTTGTCCAGGCCCAGAAGGAGCCTAGATGGTCAGCCAGTAGCCTGTGGAGGTGCCAAGGGTGGGGCATCCAGCTGGAAGCAGAGCATATGCAGGGCCCCTTAAACGACGGAAAGAGCCACCACCCCTCACTTCCTAAAGTGGGAGAGGGTTTGTCTCACAGCTGGAACCTCAGTGAGGTAATCTGGGGACTAGTGATTGCGTAACCTAATGAAGACTCTTGCTTCCAGGAAAACTGGGTGGGTAGAAAATGTAGGGGTAAGTTAATAATTCTTTTTCAAAACAAACAAACAAAACCTCCTTTGATCCCCAACTCCTCACCTTGGTCTGACTCCATTACAGACAGCATAGGATGTGGGGGAATATATAAGTATAGGTTAGTCCAAGATGTTTCCCAAAATGGGTCCGAGTGTCAAGACCCTGCCTTAGGTTTGTTGGGGAGGTTGTCCTATGCGTGTAAAACATGGGGGAGCCTTAGTGGACCAGTGCACATCAGGAACTGTACAAGCCTGTGGTGCTTCATGGCCATACAGGGCCCAGGGATGCACAGCAAGCACCTATGCTGTGCCCTGCGGTTTGCAGTGGGCATTATTGGGCACTTAGAGAAGGCAGGGAGGGAGGACAACCAATGGCCAGGCCAGGGAAGGGATCGGGATGGTGGTCCACATGGGGAGGCTGTGATCAGAACATACTTGAGGGAAGGGATGAGCAGTGAGTGGAAACACACCAGGGACTGTCAAACATTAGTTCCGAGCATTGGCTTCACCTGCCCTGAGGGCGACTCTTTCCTACTTGATCTAGCAAGTGAACCCTGAACCCATAAGGTCAACTTCTGGGGGTTAAAGTAAGCAGCAGGCAGCGTCCTTGGTCATTTAACCTGCAGTACTTTGAAAGAGGTGTGTCTGTGTGCACACATTATATAGAGCTCCATGCAGGCACAAGGTTGGTACACCATTTGTGCTGTTAAAATGCCTGCTCTAGAACTAGGATCATGGGTGTCTTGGATAGGGGCTTCCTGGTGTGGGAGGTCCTTTAGTCTATGTGTTGCTTTTATTGGCTAATGAATAAAGAAACTGGATCGGCCTGATAGGGTAGAACAGAGCTAGGTGGGGAAAACTAAATGGAATGCTAGGAGGAAAGGAGGTGGAGTCAGAGAGAAGTCATGGAGCTGCCAGAGACAGACGCTGGGAACTTTACCAGGTAAGCCACAGCCACGTGGCAATATACAGATTAACAGAAATGGGTTAAATTAATATAAGATTTAGCCTATAAGAAGCTAGAGCTAATGGGCCAAGTGGTGATTTAAATAATATGGTTTCTGTGTGATTATTTTGGTTCTGGGTGGCCAGGACAAACAAGCGGCCTTCCTCTTACAGCTTCCCCAGGCTTAGACCTGCTGTGTCGCTACAGAAACATCTGCACAGCTGGAGACTCCAGCTGTTTTGGGGGAACTCAATTTATCACCCAGCTTTAAACCTGTGCCCACCAGTGGCAAGTGTATCAACCTCAGAATGCTTCAAAGCCTGGAATGGTAACTCATGTCTGTAATCCCAACGCTCAGGAGGCTGAAGCAGGAGGATTGCCACCAGTTTAAGGCCAGCCTAGATTGCAGAGACCCTGTCTCAAGAGAAGAATATTTTAAAATTTCAGTCTTTGGGGGATGGCAAGACTCAGCAGGTAAAGGCAGTTGCCCCCAAGCCTGAGCACCTGACTCCCAGAACCCAAAAGGTGGAAGGAGAGGACCAACTCCCTTGGGATATCCTCATATTTACACACACACACACACACACACAAGCACAGCAGTTATACCTACATATGTACATAAGTATCAATCTTTATTTTGAATTGTATGTATGTATGGGTTTGTAAATGTGGCCATGGAGGACAGGAGAGGGCATTAGATCTCCTAGAATTGGAGTTATAGGTGGCTGGAAGTTGCCTGGGATAGGTGCTGGAAACTAAACTCAGGTCCTCTGGGAGAGTGGAAAGACCTCAAAACAATTAACAACCAAAAGAAAAAAAAAACCAAAATCCATGTTGTGAATAGCACACAGCCCTGTGTATTTGTAACAAAATGGTGTTTTGTTAAATGTAAGCATGTATCACTACTTATGTAGCCCTTGTAGTGGGTCCAATGAAGATGGCCTCCATAGGCTCATAGGGAGTGGTGCTATTAGGTATAACCTTGCTGGAGGAGGTGTGGCCTTGCTGGAGGAAGTATGTCACTGGGGGTGGGCTTTCAGGTTTCAGATGCTCAAGCCAGGCCCAGTGTCGCTCTGTTCTGCCTGCCTTTGGATCCAGATGTAGAACTCTGGGCTACCTCTCCAGCATGTCTGACTGCATGCCACCATGCTTCCCACCAAGATGACAATGGACTGAACTTTTGAACTGTAACCCAACCCCAGTTAAATGTTTTCTAAGAGTTGTCATGGGCTGGGCAGTGGTAGCACACACCTTCAATCCCAGCACTTGGGAGGCAGGGACAGATCTCTGTGAGTCCGAGGCCAGCCTGGTCTACAAAGAGTTCTAGGGCAGTCAGGGCTGTTGTACAGAGAAACCCTGTCTAGAACCCCCACACCCCCTCTTCACAGCAACAGAAACCCTAACAAGACAGCCCATTTAGCAGTTTGTCATTCTTTAATTGCTTCAGTGGATTTCACAGGTGAAATGGTTCACGCCCTCTCAAGTCTGCCTTGAAGAACAGGCTGGGAGCCAGGCAATGATGGTTCACTCCTTCAATCCCAGCACTCGAGAGGCAGGTGGATCTCTGAGTTTGAGGCCAGCCTGGTCTACAGAGCAAGTTCCAGGGCTGCCAGGCTATACAGAGAGAGAGAGAGAGAGAGAGAGAGAGAGAGAGAGAGAGAGAGAGAGAGAGAGAGAGAGAGAGAGAGAGAGAGAGAGAGNAGAGAGAGAGAGAGAGAGAGAGAGAGAGAGAGAGAGAGAGAGAGAGAGAGAGAGAGAGAGAGAGACAGAGAGAGAGAGAGAGAGAGAGACAGAGACAGAGAGAGAGACAGAGAGAGACAGAGAGATCATTCAGGAGGCTAGCAACTGGACATCACCGTCTGTCCTTTTCTTCCTATTATTCCTTTAAGTTTCCCGCCCCCAGTCCAACCCTTTGTAGTACTGGGCTTAAACCTGGGGCCTTGTACATTCTAGGCAAGTACTCTACACCCCAGCCCCATTTCCTGGATTGTTTTCTAACCTTTGGTGGTGCAGCAATCAGAGCAGAGACTATATATCAGGCCTCTTATGTGCAGCCTGAAC